TAACATGTTACAAACCATAAATGTAGCTAAAGTTTTAAAGTCCATAACTTACAACATTATACTGATTAAACTAAAGTTTTTCAAAATAGTTAAGATTACATTTACAAAATACTAGAGTCTAATACAAAAGATAGCAAAAATAAAATAGATCCCCAAGCTCATCTAAAATTGTTGTGGATCGTCGTCCGCCACCTCTTTTCCATATCCTGAAAAATGTTAAAAATAATGGGGTGAGCGTACGCTCAATAGGAAGTGTTTAAGACACACTTCTTATGATTTCGTGAATCCACACAAAGAATGGATAAAAAGAGACGGGGTCATACCATGGGAAATACATATTCTCAACCACAACAACAAATATGTAGCAAATGTTAACCAATCACAGATTTACTAAAATGCCATGAAGTGCAATGTTATGCAAATGTCGCTCCCCATTTCCGAAACAATTCCATTTCAACAACCAAACCGTTAGTGTAATCCGACCTAAGGCACCTCCAAGGCGTCACAAATGGAGGGTTGACTAATTATCCACGACCATAAAGCACCTCCAAAGCATCACATCCGGCCTAGTTAGCTCAACCATACTCTCTTCTAGACTACACTAACAACACAGACCACTAGGCGCCTTCTAGGCGTCTGGTTTTCGCAAACACCTTTGAAAATAATTTCCCAAAAATAATTTCATTTAATTTAAAACATTTTTCCCTTTTTCTTTCCCAATAGATGCATGAATGCTTCATGCTTCTAATCATCAATTCAACTATAGGCTTTCACACATTCCATTTACTTCATCATCACAATTTAATACGAATTTATTTTATTTTATTTATTTGTTTATAATCATAGCATCAATTTTTCAATGCAATACATAAATAAATAAATAATCATAGAACATACAACATATTAACACTAAGTATGCTCATTTACCGCAATGAAAATAGACATATATCTGAACTCAAATAACACATAGAACACATTTATCATTTTGATTACATATAACTACAACAATAACAAACTAGATAATAAAAAATTAGCATGCTTAGGATCAAATTTAAGGAGAAAAATTCACAAAAGACCCAAGAAGTTGTAGATTAGAACACCCCTACCTCAAATTGATGAAAACCCCCAATTTGAGCCCAAGAACCTTAGAATTTCGAACTCTCTACAGTGCACCAAAACTGAAATTGTTGGTACTCACACGTAGATCTCGCCGTGCTCTTCGATTTGCCACAAATGGCACCCAAAAATTCCAAGTATGGAAGGAGGAATCAAAGCTTGAAAAAAAAAAAAAAAAAAGAAAGAGGGAAGCCACTGGAATCGGACGAAAGAAAGAGATGCGCAGAAAGAGAAGAACAAATGGTCTAGTCAAAGGCCATTAGGCCCTTTTGTGGTGTTTAAAATGTTGGTGGGGCCCACTAGCTTATATATATATATATATATATATATATATATATATATATATATATATAACCTTAAAACATTACAGGGACAAGTGCAGAAAACACCCTTAAAGTATACTCCGTGTAGCACTTTTACCCCCTATTTGAAAAATTGTGCAAAAAATACGATAATCTTTTCACATTATGCAAAAATACCCCCTCTGACATAAATTAGTGCTGTAATACATGTTTTGCCCTTTTACTCTTCCGAAAATTCCTAAGGGGATATATATGCTGCTAATCTCATAGTATAAGGGTGTTATGTGCACATGACCTTATATATTCTTTTTTTGAAACTTTTTTCTCTATATATATCTCTAAACATTTTTTTTTTTTTTTTTAATTTTGAGAATTTGTAAAACAAGGGTTTGAATTTTTTTAGATTCCAATTTACTCTTTTTTACTAAATTTTTTTTTTCTTTATTTTAATTTTTTTTCGTACCAACACTGTTAAACAAAAACAAAACAAAAATCCCAATTGCAATATTTCTGAATTTTTTCCATTTTCTATTTTTTTCTAGAATTTTTCGTTTATGCAAGGGCATTTTTGTCTTTTCACGTTGTGCGAACTAACACTGCGGAGTGTGCCGGTTGTGTTTTAGAGCTGTTTGGGGCATTTCATTGAGTTCAGGACTCTTTGAAATGTAAGGATGGTCATTTTTGTTTTTCTCAGTTTTTCGGGCCGGACGGTCCCGTGTGGGACCGCTACTGAAATTGTTGCATACTGGTATTTTGATTAGGTCCATTTGCACCATATCTATTTTTATTTATTGTGTTTTGAGTAAATGCAAATTACATGTGGAATTATGTGTGTGTGTGGTGTAAATTAAAAACAAAAAGGAAAAGGAAAAATAAAATAAAAATGATAGGACCCACCAATATCAAACTTAATGCCATGAGACCATGTTTGGTCTCCATTCTCTCTTCTCCCCGCTGGTTTTCTCTCTGCTCTTTACTTTGCTTTTTTCTTTTTCTTTTTCAATCAAAGCTTTAGAGCTTCATTTCTCTACCAATTCTTAGAATTTTTAGAAGCTGTTTGCGGCAAATTGAGGCCCATGACGAGATCTTTAAGTTGATCGAAGCAATTTTGTGTTTAGTGCACTCTAGGAAAGTTGGGATCTAGGGCACAAATTGGGGTTTTTGGCTTAGATTGAGGTAGGGGTCTCTAATTCCTATTTTTCTTGTACCTTTGTGAATTTTCTACTATAATCCATGTTAAGTATGTTTAATTTGAGTTGATTATTTTTTAAAAATTGATTTACTTGGGTGTGTGAAGCATGTTATTGAGTGTATTGTTGAATTTGTATAGAAAGCATGTTTAAATATTAATTTTTCATGCTTATTATGTTGTTGAATTGGCTAGAGATGATATATGGAAGCTTAGGGAAATTTCCTTAGAATTACTTGTCATGCTTCATTATTGATTTCTATATGTTATTGTGTTGACAAAATTATTAGAAATGATACATGGAAGCGTATGGAAATTTTCTAAGAATTATTGTAAAGTATGCTTAATGTGTTAATTTTTTCATGCCTATGATGCTTAATAGATTATTAGAAATTTTATGTGGAAGTATGTTAATTGTGTGATAATAATTCTCTCCATTTCCATAGTATTAAAAAGACATGTGATATGCATTCATAGCATGGGCATGAAAAAGGGTACAATGATTTGATAAGAATGAAAAAGGAGATTTCTGGGGAGAATTTGATTAAACGGTTTTGAGAAAACCTAGTCGCCGCGGAGTCACCAAAGGGCCGGTGTGTTAATATAGCCTAGAGAGAACTAAGGAGATTGCCCGAGCGTATTTGAGCTATTTGGGCCCTAAATGACGCTGCGGAGGTACCAAAGGTCAGGGACAGTAGTCAATCCTTCTCTTGTGTCGCTGCGAAGTCACCAAAGGGCGGGTTATATTAACAGTTTGTGAAATGATGGAAATTTTCTGAAAATTGGGGAGTGAAATGCATAACATTGCATTCATGGCACGACATTTTTTTGTTTTGAACTTGAAAATGTATATTGTATTTTTTTCTCGGCTTTATATGACCCCGTTCCTTGTTGTCCTATTCATTGTTTGGATTCACGGGGCTACAAGAGGTGGGTCTTAGGCGCTACCTACTGAACAATTTACTCACCTCATTACATTTAACATTTTTCAAAACACGGATGGCAAGTGGCGGACGACGCTCCTCCACAGGGTTTGATGGGTTAATAGACCGTTTTGACATACTTTGTAGCTATAATCTCATTTTATTATTTATTTATTTATTTATTATTACTTATTTTTTTTATAAATCTGGAATGACACGTATAATATGTATTGACGTAGGAAAGAATGGTATTGTCTCTAGTTGACCTCGGGGTCGATTAAGGACCCGGCTAACAGTTCGGACCTACGGGTTCGGGTCGTTACACCAATGTACTGGTGCACTGATTTTCGGAGTTTGGAAAAAATTTGTTTTCTTTAGTTTGCACTTTATTCTTTTCTTTTTTTTTTTTTTATTCTTTTTATCTTTACTTGTCTATTGTCGGCGTCCTCCAATAGTGTCATTTTCGGTTATTTTATAAAATTATTTATTTTTATATATTTTATAAAATGGTTCAGTAAAGGTAATTTAGTTAACTTATGGTTTAAATTTGTCAAATGGACCTATTTGCACCAGAATGAAACTTTAAGAATATTTTTTTGCATGAGGGGCATCTCCAATAGTGTCTTTTTCGGTCATTTTACAAAACTATTTATTTTTATATATTTTTAATTAAAACTTTAAGGGTGTTTTTTGCACATGAGGGGTGTGATATGCACCGAAAACATACTTTAAGGTGTTTTCTGCACTTGACCCATTATATAAATCTAAGGCATATATTTCAACATATCAGAGACTTCCATCAACACTAGGGAGCTCCCACCAGCCTCAAAGCCTTCCAGCTCTTCACAGACCTTCCTAGTCTTATCTCTCAAGTGCTCAATCTTCATCATCTCTCTCTCTCTCTCTCTCTCTCTCTCTCTCACACGCGCGCGCGCACACAAATTCTTGTAGCTAGCTATTCCCTATCCTCTTTGTCCACTTTGCTGCCTTCTACTACCACAAGATTGCACACTCAATTCACTCCAATCCTTTTCCAAGTTCTCTTATTTGATCCTTAGATGCAAGTGTCCTGCTTCCAGAGCTAGCATAAACTATGGATTCAGCAAGTTTCGCGTAGCCATGGATGATGAGTAGCCTCTTTCGAGATCATAAAACTTCTGATGTGGGAGATTACTTTAAATTCTGCCATGGTTGAGTCCAGTGATTGCTTCAACAATACGCATTTTGCTTTCAGGACAGGACTAGTTTGATGCTATTGCAAACAAGGCCGCGAAGACATGATTTGGACTGAAGAACGGGTTGAGGAATACTCGATATTGGCAATGGGGCAAAATGAATACCGCGTGTTTGAATGTCATTGTCACTCCACTAAATTTAAAGTTTGTGTTCTTGTGTGATTCATCAAGACATAAATGATGCATTACGTATATGTGAAAATAGGTTCTTCACAGAAACAACGAATTTGGAACATTTATTTCAAGGGAAATACCTCTCATCCATCTCTTTTATTGGAAGAATCAAAGCTTATTAGCATCAATGTTCAATTGGACACATTTCAGTCCCATTAATAATGGGATCAAATGACAAAATAAAAGAATTACAGCACATTGCTTTTATTCAAGATGATCATGCGGTCTGAGTGACATGAACACCGCAGCATATTGCCTGAGCCTACGCTCATCACCTCCGTTTTCCATCACATGATTCACTGGAGCCCTACTCCTCTGCATGGAACGGCGCCAAGCTAATTGTATATTCACAGCTGCCCAAGTTCTCCAATTGGATGAATAGTATCTCGCTTTTCTCTTGAGCCTCTCATTATTGAATTTGTAGCGGAAGTGATCAGTAATATACCGGAGATCATTTGCATCAAGACCAAATGCTTCTGTTGTTTCAAGACAAGTAAATGTTGCTGATGAGGCTGGAAGCCGGTCTTTAAATGGGCGGCGAAGGCACCATGAGAGCAGCTCATCCCCAAGAAAGCCTCCTGGCTCTAGAATGCTTGTGGCTAACATGCCTTTACTGAGGATTTGGCTACTCTTTGCACGCCCACGAACAATGAAAATGAACCGCTGCACAGGGTCTCCTTCTCTTATAATCTGTTTTGTACAGAAACATGAAAACTGGTAAAAAAAAAGAGTTCAATTCTTTCGGCAAGATAAGTTGTTGTGGTAACTGTATAACTTTCACACCTTTTCGTCTCTAGAAAATACGAGGGGCTTAACACGGTCGCAAATGTTGTCAAGGATAAGATCCTCCATGCTGTGGAACAGAGGTACCTAAACAAGACAGGTTATCAGAGAATTACTTCAATTGATCACTAAAATTTGTTCTTTTGGCATATTTTAGCTTCTATTTTTTTTCTTCTTTAACTACTCAAAAAGTTCTAAAAGCAAAAGTGAAAATACTTTCTTAACCATAAACTTATATGATACTTCTTTGGAGTAAGTTCAATCACAAAAGCTGATGTTCTTCAGTTCTTGCTTATTTAATCATTTTGATACTGATTGCTATCAAAATCTCCATAATCTATCAGAGGTATGAAGAATTTAAGAGACACCTATTGTACAACTGCTACTTTATGCAATTAGTCCTTTCTGTTGCATTCAATTCTAAACACTATAGCAGATGACTGTTTCGTTACCTTTCTGATGAGTTCCAGACAAAGATAGCGCTTAATGTCCCGTCGGAGGCCTTCAGGCAAATCTTTGATCAATTCCATCTCATCTTCTCCCCCCATGGCTGCCCATCTTTGGCGTTCGTAATGGAGAACTCTGTTTCTCAGAGGATTCGGCAGCTGTCTCCGCTTCATCCACCATTCTATGTCACGAAATCTCAACTGCATTTTTCTCTTCCTTGCCATGACAGCATGCAAGAATACCTTCAAAGCATCATTTAATACAGTTGTCATTGTTAGACTATGTTCTATATCCAAAATTGTGAGTCAGGAAACTGTAACACTTTAGCCTGCATAATAGAATATAACAATGTGAATTTTAGGTACCTGAATATTTCCGATCAATAGAGTGAAAAGCAATAAACCGCTGAGCACAATAAATATACTGAACATCACTTCCATCCAGTGACTTGTGGGTTCAAGATCATTGCCAAAAGTACTGTCACAAGATACAAATAAGTTCTAAGAAAATGTTTAAAGTGTCGATGAAAATTCAGCACAAAGATAAAAATTTTGTCCTCCAATTAAAGAATCATATAAACCTGCTGTCACATTAAAGATTGCCTGATAATGAAATTTTTGCGACAGTATTAAATTATTCTTGTGATTACCTGAGGGTCATTAATCCCCAAAATATGGGATAAAGAATCTTAACAGAGACAGAGTCGCTAGAAATAACTGGGAGAGCCCATTTATAGATCCCATAACGGAAAGGTCCATTGACATCCAAGCACATTGGCTTTCTGAACATCATTGTTGAGTTCCGACCACATGGATTCCCTAATGTATCTGCAGGTAATATAAACTGGTAACAGACCTCCGACGAGCAAGACAAGGAGAGATTGCACGACATCTTTCTGTCACACTGCTGCCGAAGGCATGATGCTACGCGTTGTATGGCGAGGACATACCAACAACCTCCAGCAACCTGCACTAGGTAAATATCGAAATTTCGTTGAGAATTAAGTCATTGTTGATGCCATAGTCCTTGTTAATGAAGTGCATTGTACCACTTACATGAGAGGCAATGAAGTAGGCAATGAGATTAAGGCCAAAACCCCACCAAATGGTGCCAAATATATAACCTGTGACCTTTTGCATTCTTCTCATTAAGCATATGCTGTGGTAGACCTTAGGGAGGAATTGGAACAAGAAGATCAGTAGAAGTATGGTCATTATCAGCTTTATCTTCTCTTCCCTGATTAATCTTGGAACGACTAACCAAAATACAGCCTGCTCGATTGAAAATCAAAAAGGAAGAATTAAGAAAAGGAAAGAAAGTGAGCACAATATTAATGAGAAATTTGCTTTCAGATATGTAATTGGTTTCAATGTCACAATGGGTGATCCAAAACAGGTAGCAGATGCTTAGCAAGCATCTGAGAGGTTACAAGTAACAAGAAGCACTTCATCCTTGCCTTTATCCCGTACCAAATAGCTCGGCCACGTAAATTCTCTTTTTCTAATTTTTCTATCATAAACTATTTCGTCTACCTGGATTTAGTTTTTTTAAAATCATTTCGTATCACCTCATCCCATGTTAGTTTTGGTCGATTTCATTATCTTTTACCTTCTATGCATATCAACATTCCTCTCCTCACCAAAAAAATTGCATTCCCATTTTCTTTCATTTTGTCATTGTGATTATATTTTAAAGATTATATTTCTATTATTTGAAAGAGTCCGAATCTTCTTTTGGCTGTTTACTGCACCGTGCTGTACAGCAATGGACGGCCATTCATGTGGGCCCAATGTGGGTCCTCGTGATTCACAAATAGTACTAATATACTGTAACTTTCCTCTACAATAATATACTACTGTCATAAGTTTTATATTCTCCAATTTTCCTCTTTGAAGATGAAGGATCAATCATACCCGACTATTGTAATGATATGACATGCAGTGTCCATTGGACAACTGTCAATGTCCAAAAGGTAGGTATTCTTAAGCCAAACAATAATGACAAGCACTGTTTGTTTGAAGGCCAAAGAATATATATATTTAAAAAATAATCCTATTATTATTCCATACAGCTCTGTAAATGACAAGAGATTGCGTAGTTCACCTTATGCTATAAAAATTAAAAATGACTAAAATATAAGTCTGGTTGATAAATTCTAAAACTGAATAAAAATTACTTAATTTCATTGAATATTTTTTCAGATCTCTTTTAAAAATCTTTAAAAAATTAAATAAACGAAATAGGCTATTCATATTTCAAACATTTTTCATGAAAAATGTAGAATACATGTTATGTGTCAAACATGTGGCTGATGTTATCATGTCAGGCATAAATTTACATATCGTGTGAGATACATGTTACTACATGTTACGTGTCAAACATGTGTGTGACGTCACCATGTCAACTGGTTTTCTAAACTAGGTTTATACAATTATTGTGTCGGACCCATTTTCATCTAATTTGATTCACTCCATTATGAGCATTAATGTTTTTCTTCTAAAAGTAATGATAAAATGGGCTGAAATAGCTATCCAAGTGGAGAGTCCAACACCATCCCCATCCACTTGATGGTTGAAATGGGACAATTGTTTTGCACCGTCCTTTTTCTAAAACCGTAAAAAATAAAAAATTATAATGTTATGTCAATTAGTAACTTAAAATTGAAACGGAACAAAGTTTCTGCGTATGCGTATCTAGGCGTAAAATATTTTTTGATATTTGATTATCGTAAAATATTTATGAAGAAAAAAAATATTAAAATTTAACAAAAATATTTTATTCATTAATTTTTGATAAGTTTACTCTGTATATGATGAATTCGACTTTAACCTCAAAATAAATATTTATCAAATTTGGACAAAGTAAAAATAAAAAAATATTTTATGTTTTGAGCCAAAAATTAATTTAACACGTACCTGAGGAACCGGGAGTATGACGAAGATATCAAACCAGAATCCCTTGAGAGACCGCACGTAGTGAGAAGAGACTGCACGTGCGTCCCACACGAGTTTCCCACACCCAACCACCAAGGACTCCTTCGACACGTACGCCAAACGAAACTGAAGCCACAGGTGGCACAAGTGCACCGCATCCACGCACGTGCGAAGGACGGTCACGATTGCCGCCAACCCACCGTCCATGTACAAGCACGGCGAGCCACCCCGACCGATCGACAGCGCGTAGAAGAAGAGCGGATCAACGGCCAGCGCCATGCCACGTGCCAGCAGGAACGCCCGGTTCCACCTCTGCACCCGCTTGGTCCGCGGGTCCAGCACGCGCCCGAACAATCCCCGCCGGTTCGTGCTGAAGCGGTCCTTCCATGATTTTTCCCGGTCCGGCCGGTTCTGGATCGGGACTAGCGAAGAGCCGGCCGAGGCCTCCCATTCGGGCTGGTGACCGGTGTCGCAGCTGGTGGAGTGGAAAACCGGAACTCCGACCTGCGTACAGGCATAGCATTCGATGGAATTCGAGATCGGACTGTCGTAGTCGATGTCGTCGGACTGTGTAGTTCGTTGCCCGAATAGTCCAAACCACCTGAGATAAAAAATACCAATCAGTAATATTAATCGAGCTCAAAAAACTAAGCCTAATGTTACATTTGACAGTACTGAATTCGCGTCCAGGAAAAAAAAAAAAAAAAGTATAGCCTGAAATTTTGAATTAAATTTTCTTCGGTTTTAATTTCAATTTCGATTTTAGGTTTTGATTCGTCATGCATGATATATATATATATATGGACTAATGCATGGTAACAGGTAAGTGTGACCTTGAGACAGAGATGTGGGAGTCTGGATTGGAAGGCATGTTTGGAAGAGAGTAACCATGGGAAAGAAACAGAGGATAGCTGAAAGCAGAGCAATATCAATAAGTTTAGAGAGAGAAAGTAGGGAGCTAGAGAGATGGGAGGAATGTAATCAGTGATCAAAAATATATGAGGGATGAAGATTTTGAGAGGAGAGAGATTGGGTTTGTTGTGTGTGTGTGTGTGTGTGTGTGTGTCAGTGTGTGGTGGTGGTGGTGGGGATGGCAAGGGTGTGTCATCTAGTACATGAAGGAGTGGTACCGGTGCTGAATGAGAGGACGAGCAAATCAAGGGGCTTGCGAAACATTACGTTTGTGGGGCCCAGGTTCAGTGAGGTTGTCGGGCCCAGGACTTATTCATTGGGTTGAGTGGCCTTTGATCGCTGCCCTTCCCCGTCTCGTCCCAACCCAGACCTCCACCTCAATGTTTTAGATAGAGATGGAGCTGGAGATAACATGGAGTAGGGGGAAGCCAAGTACATTTTTCTTCTAGAAAATGAGAGGTAAAGAAAAAAATAATGTAATGGTGAATTTTTGTTTTTGTTTTTTTTTTTTTCTTTTATAAATGGAAGTAATTGTCATAAAGAAAATATTTTTCATGACTGTATATATTGCATTATAGGATTTACTAATATATATATATATATATATATATATATATATATGTATATATTTCTTTTGTATAATTATTCAATTCTTATTTGATAGTCTCTGCAATTATATGAATTATACCTATTTACACAAATATATACCTCATTATAAAGAACAAATCCTTATAATATATGGTTTTTAAGAGCAAATGAAGAAGCCAAAAATTGACATGATAATAAAATTACTGAACCCGTTTAGAGTTGTTGTTGGAATAAAAGAAATGTTTTTTTTATCAATATAGCTATTAAAAAATTACCAAGTAAATTTTCAGTTGCTGACGCGGACCCTACATTGCAAGGAGTTCTCTATTTGTCTTGTATATCACCAGTACAACCCTTTTTTTTTTTTTTTTTTTTTTAAGTGTGTTTTTATCTTATTACAGTTTTCCTACCCTAATTTGCACGTTTGTAATAAATACTCTTTATTAAAATAAAAATAAAAATAAAAATAAAAATACTCTTTATTGTCACTTTGTCAGTAATACGGTGAGCAATAGTCAGTCCTGAGTGACCAAATTTACAGATTTATATGACTGAAGATACTCATGGATCTTTTCAGTCATGTTTATATAATATTATAATAATAAAGATATAAAAGTAATTTTACATAAAGAGAGGACGTAAGAATAATTTATCAAAAAAATTATTCTATGATAAACATGCATATATACACATGCATATATACATATACATTAATATTATTGTTTAAGTTTCTCTATCTGTCTTTGTACCACCTGTCTTGTACAACTTTCTGGAGCAATCACTAGATTAATGAGGGTCGGTTTGGTTCTCTCTCTGAGCAGTCAACAACCATATATCAGAAGATACTCCGTATATGATGATATAATATATCACCCTTCGTCTAACTTCAACAATATTTGTCTCTATAAATATATAGTATAATTTCTTTATAATAGTTTACATGTTATAATATGATTAAACAAGGTGATCATCCAAGCTCTTTTGTTAATTATTTCCTTTTACCCTTCTTGTTTAATTTTTTTTTTTCTTTTTAAATATTGTTAATGACACGTGTTTCACTAATTCTTTTTTTTGGGAGGCAATCACTAGATTAATGAGGGTAGGTTTGATTCTCTCTGAGCAGTCAACTACCATATATCAGAAGATATATGATTATATAATATATCACTATATCAGCCTTCGTCTAACTTGAACAATATTTGTCTCTATACATATAAAGTATAATTTCTTTATAACAGTTTACATGTTATAATATGATTAAACAAGGTGATCATCCAAGCTCTTTTGTTAATTATTTCATTTTACCCTTCTTGTTTAATTTTTTTTTTCTTTTTAAATATTGTTAATGACACGTGTTACACTAATACAAGGAAACAAATACTCGCTTTCAGTCTGTAAAACGCCTCGAATTTCTAGAACAAATTCCAACCTGTGTCGCAGAGTGTACCAAATTAACTGATACGAGGTAATTATATATTAATTAATATATATATTCTCAACGTTATGACTCTGGAGTAAGATCATAATATATGTTATTTAATAGAATTATTAAATCAATTGATGAAGTTAAATCTATAATCTTTCGGGGGAAAAAAAGAAATGTAGTTGAAATTTGGACGTAAAAAAATATTGTTTATTGTTCAAACTATTCTTATTTTTTTTAGGTACCATTTTAGTGTATGCAAGTACCACTTATATACAAATATGTACGGTTTTTTGTACCGATCATGCCTATGTACACAAAGAGTGATATTTGTATGTATAAGAATGATACATATGAATATAAAAATAGTACATGAAAATAGTAAGGATAGTTTGGGCGAATAAATAATGTTTTTGCATATTCATATCAATATTTTGGTCAATTTTATTTTTTCAAAATTATCGTGACTTTATTTGCTTTCATAAAGAAATGGCTAGTGAATAAGGGTTTTGTTAAGGTTGTGGAGCCTCAATCATAAGTTTTGTGACACCAATCGAGACTTTTGAAGACTATAATTGATTGGAGCTATATAAACTTCTTTTTGCGAAATTCTCACCGATCGAAGCAAGGAAGACTTCCGTCAACCGAAGCTGTATAAACTTTGATCGTGGGAGAGAAAAAGGCTCCGAATTTGTTTTAAATAGAGATTTTCTTTCCTTTGAAATCTGTAGACGTGAATTTTTTCGTGCGATCCGTGGACGTAATCCCGTGTTATCTTTTAACAATTATTCTAAGACGAACCGTAAACTCAAACTTGAATTTGATTTTCACAAAAGTAAAAACATCCTAGCTTAACCGTAAACTCAAACTTGAATTTGATTTTCACAAAAGTAAAAACATCCGAGCTTAAATAATTTATATACATGTGACTTGCGAGTACTTGCACATATATCAAGACTTACAAACTATTGGAGTGCCCAAAATGGCTAAACCATCCATTAAAGCAACGAGTAATAGAAAAGTTAGGTCAGAAACAACTCGAACGATAATGACTGGTGAATGCATGTTTATCAACACCGGCCAGTTTCAATTGTCAATCAGTCTGCTAGTGCTATACATATACAGTTGCATCTACTACTAAGTTGCTTTCTAGGGTTTCATTGTCTCTGTTCGGCATCTAACATGGTGGTATGCGTAGCTTCCTTTTCATGATTTATTGTCTGGTACACAAAAGGTGACAAGATATTACCTTCATATCTGTAAGTACACATGATGTGATGTAATATATATATAAATTTCTTGCAACATGAATCTATTACTTCTTTTTGTTTAATCTTTTGGCTTTAGGATCGACGAATGTGCAGCCCGTGATCTCGTGATATGTACTTTGGTTTAAGTTCTTATATATGTGTGTGTGTGTGTGTACAGGGCGGAGCATAAACACTGCCAAAGTGATATATAAATAAAATTATAAAAAATATTATAATCTGTTTTTAAAAAATACATAAATATAAATATATATTATTGCCAACATATATAAATTTCTTGCAACATGAATCTATTACTTCGATTTTGTTTAATCTTTTGGCTTTAGGATCGATCAATGTGCCGCCCATGATCTCGTGATCTGTACTTTGGTTTTAGTTCTTATGTATATATATATACATATATATGAGGAGTGGAGCCAGAAATACTCGGGTGGGACAGAGTGCTTTATAAATAAAATTATAAAAAATATTATAATATGTTTTTTAAAAATACATAAATATAAATATATATTATTGCCAACATGTCTATCATTTTGCATCCTTGTAACTGTTAAACTGAGAGGATAATCTTCATAACCTTGCAGCTCAATGGTCATAGTGCGCAAGTTTAGTGAGAGCACTCCCTACATCATAGATTTTTTTGCTATTTTTAATATAATTTCAATAATGAGATACTTATAATCTATAAAAATTAAAATAAACATCTTAAATAAATAACATGATAGAAGAAACTAATATGAAAAAGCCAAAAATATTTATTTTTTTCTCTGAAATACATATAGATAACAGGTGTTAGAATGGAATTAATTTTTCTTTCACTATATTCGAACTTTGTAAAGAAACAATAAAATGGTGGTAGTTAATTTGAGGTATAAACTAAAAATTTCAAAAGAATTTGTTGGGGGCGGGGGGCAGGGAGGGTCTAATGGCTCCACCATGTGTGTGTGTGTGTGTGTGGGTGGGGGTGGGGGGAATGTGAGTGATTACAGTTATCTCTTGTTATATAACACGGTATTGTTATGAAGAAGAAGATCCATGCTCTCTATGAATTTTATATATACACATACAAAAATGATTTCTTGTTTATTGGTGAGCAAAAAAAACTTTCACCACATCATGTATATTTAATATGGTGGTTATGTTTATTGGGTAACTATCTTTTTACACTTTTATTGCTATTGTCATTGTAGTTGTGGTTTATAGTATTATTATAATATATATATATATATATATATATATTATAATAATACTATCAACCAATATATATATATATATATATATATTTAGAAGTTTGATGTGATAGTCACTCATAAAGTTGATTTTCGATGAATATAATATAATGGAACAAAATTATGTGAAGAACTAATTAAGGCAAGTTATATAACTGACTTTAACGTACATTTAAAAGTTGATCACTTATTGAGAAATGGAATAATTAAAGTATCTTTTCGATTCGATATCATGCTGTCAGAAACTATAGCTTGAATTGAGATCTCAATCACCTTAATTAATTTGTAGTCTCTCTCTCTTTCTCACAAGCACACTTGCCCCTCCTGGGCTCTCTGTTGTACATTCTTCTTTTTATTTATTAAAGTTTACCACCCAGAAGGCCTAATTAGAATATATATATATATATCATTTACACAGTATGAATGTGAGATATCAATATTGTGACTTCATAAGAATATATTATATTCTACACATGAAATGAAAAAAGAAAAAAAAAAATTCCAGATATTTAAAGAACTGAAATTGTCTAGTCTAGATCTCTCTCTGCCCTAATATACATATAGTAGTACTTTGAACACACACCGACACACACACACACACACATAAATATATACGCACACACATACACATGCACGTAATATAACATA